TGGAAGAGGACTTAGGGTTGTTTACAGACTGATTTCATGAGAAGTCATTTGTGCTATTACAGTTTGATTGGGAAAAGTGGGGGTTTACATGCTTGTCTTATATGCCAGATATTTGACAAAAGTTATTGCTGCTTTGGTTTTGTGCCCAACACTTTCAACTGGAGCTGTTACAATGCGGGAAAGTACTTTAAAATTATTCATATCAACAATATCATGACATACAGGCTGAATTTCTGCCAAATGAGCCTATTATTTAAGAGTAGCTGCTAGCACAAGAAATAAGCTGTTCAATGAAAGAGTTAAAGTTAAAACTTGGAAAATATAGGCCTTCCTACTGCTTGCCTAACTTATGGAGAGAGGGAGCTTGATGGGAAGAGATGCACAGGGTGTAGATGGAAGGAAGCTGTGTAACCCAGTGATCTCAATACTTGAACCCCATCTTGAGTTGGTCTTGATACTTGAACCCCATCTCCTAGGCCAAATGGGTTGTTCTGCAGACAGTTTTCTAGCTGTGGAAAGAGCCCTCGATCAGTGCTGGTAATCCAACCTCGCTGGCGTGCTCATGCACTCTTACCCTTTCCAGCATCCCACCAGAGCTGCTTTGTCCTCTTTGGCATCCCCTTCATTACCTACAGGACTTCTCCCTTTGTTTCCATTCTTTTTTCCCTGCTTGTTCTTAATGCTGGTGAAATGTTTGTCACTCGCAGCACAAGTCTGCTTTGCTGTGCTAAATCAAACCAGCACAGAGCAGCTTCAGACTTAGTTTGTTCATTTTTTCTTCCCCCCCCCCGCCCTCCCCTCTCCTCTGGGCTCCAAGGAAAGTAATAAATGTTTATTGCCCCTTGCTGGTTGAAGAAAGAGCATGTGCAATACAGAAATGTTTAGAAGAAATGTCATTATTGTTCTCTTCTATCTGTTGGCGTGAGGTTTTCTGTTATTTAAACAAAAGGAGAGGGAGAGGGACAAAGGCTGAAGAGCTCCTGTCTGCCGATGAACACATTTGATAACTGCGAACAGTTATTTTCTCTGCTGAATATTTAGACAAGTAAAACAAAGTCCATGCTGAATTAATGCATCGCTTTCTGGAACAGTGAGACTTTTTCCAGAAGCAGGTCTGACAAAGGGGGGGTGGAGCGGAGGAGTGGGGGAGGGCAAGCGCAGACTGCTGACTGAGGGGAAAGTATTTTGAAAGAAAATTCTTCTGTGGTTTGGAAGATGTAGGGTTGGGGCAGTTGCATTTTGCTGAGAAATCGTTAATTGGCTAATTTCTAGCCCAATTCCCCCCATCCCCACTCCTACCGGTATTTCAAACAAGGATGGGGTCACAGAAAGTTGGGGGCATGTGCAAACACCAGCTGAGCAAAGGAAATTACTCCCTTACTTGCTTGGCTCCTGAAGTGCTGCAGATAACTTCCACGCTTATTTATGAAGGCAGAAAAGAGCAAACTTATAAAATATAGGTGAAGGAGAGGTATGCGAAACGGGGCACTTAGAACTTGGAAGCAGAAACGTATGAGCATTGGCCGTTTGCCTGGGAGAGATGAGACTGATTATGCAGAGAGGGAAACGTGCGTGGTATTTTAGCTGCTTAAAGGCAAGGTTCCTGTCCCCCGTAGTTTACAGCCTAAACAAAGAAAACGAGATCTGCGCATCAAAGGAGCCCAGGCAAGCGGTAATTTGGCATGCATCGTATTATGACCAAAAGGTTTTTCACAGTGGAAAGTGATATTTATTTGGTATTTTTAAAAGCTTTTAGAGAAGGACTAAAACTAAGGTTGTTTGGCAAGGCAGGAAGTCAGAGTAGGTAAGGCTTATTTTAGGAAGGATTTAGAGAGTTTCAGGTTACTTGATACCATGGAGGAGGCAGCCTACTCAGGTTGATGAGGCATGAAACACATAGGGCTGAGTGGAAAAAGTTGAAAGGATTTGGAGGAGAGGGAAATCCAAAGGGAGCAGGACATGTGAGAGCACATAGTAGGATATTAAAGCAAGGCACAGAACACAGGCTTGAAAATTCAAGATGGGACAACTGAATTGGGTGTACACTTGGTAGGAGTCTGGCTGAAGTACCAGTGTGCTGCTGTGCCAAGAGCCTTGGGCAAGAGCAGTGTGCTGAAAGGCTGGGAAGGGAGCGAAGTAGGCAGGAGTTGGCTGTAGTGGCTGTGCAAAAGAGGTTGAAGGGCCAGATCAGGGCTCCAATGGTGAGGAGTAGCAGTGATAGAAGATTTCGAAGATGTTGGGGAAAGGAACCGTTACCTTGGTGATAGACTAGGAGGAATTTGAAATAACCAGTGCCAAGGGAATTGGGAAGATTGAATAAAGAAGATTTGGAAAGTGCTTCTGAAGCTCTACATTACAACTCGAGCGGTTAAAACCATAGACCTGCTTTCCTTGACCTGACAGTAAGTATAAATGCAGACAGCCAGAGGAGGGACCAAGTCGCCATCTCAAGACACCTCATAACTTCAATGTGTAGTATGTGTGTGCATGAGCACACATGTAAAATGTGAAATACGGGTTTGACAGATGCGATTGGAGGAGCCTCACACTGTCAGATTCGGTGTCTTGCTGTCAGGCGGTTAGGTACAGTTTCTTCAGGAACAGATAGAGCTTCATCTCAGCTGTTTTGAGGTTTTTCCTGTAAGAGAGGTATCTTAGCATGTCATCTGATATGGAAAATGCCATATCCAAATGCCTAAAAATTTTTTGAGACTCCCCTTTTACTAGTAGACAGAAATACAGCAGGTGAAATAAAACCTGTTTGGGTGTATGCTGATTAAAGGGAATGTAATGGGTTGGACATGTCTGCTGATTCTTTAATCACAAGCTATAATCCTACTCAAAAAGCCCACAAAGCACTGTTGTTATGATCTGCCATTATCCAAAAATAAATGTTATTGGCATTAAGTCCTCCTAAACTTTAACAAGTTAAATGTAGCATCCTTAGTTTTTCTGCAACCAGTATGTTTTATCAGCCATTGAACAGGCTGGGCAAGATGGAAGAAATATTTCATTCCCCATTACACTATGGTTACTAAGGTGACCTTTTAGTACTTGATGAGCATTGGCAAGGTACCTACAGGTCATCTTGCTCTGCTGTAAATCACTTGATGGTTTCAAAGCTGTATTATAAATCCTATTTATAAAAAGTTACACTTTATTAAGTTGCATCTTAAAGTAGGTGAGAGAAGATGTGTGGGCACTCTTAAATTATCCTAGCCTGGTTTTAGATCAAGTTGCATATGAGTTGCCTTGACTCTGCTTCCAGCAGTCTCAGAAATAGGCCTCTTTCCTCAAAATTAAGTGAAGCTGCATGGAAACTGGCCTGGCTTAGTACACAGAAGTTTTACACAGAGTTTGTGGTGCCACCACTAAAAGAACCAGTCTCACCCTCCTCAGCATCTTCCCCTCTCCTTTATGCTCATGCAGACCTGCAATGAAGCAAACCAGGCTTAGGGTCATACTAACTTCCTTGTTCAGGTTGGCTTCAAGTCCATCTCAGAGTCGTGAACTATGCAAGCAGAAGTGGTGAGTGCGAGGCAGGACAAAGGAAGAAGGGAGTAGTCTCAGCTGCAGCACTAGGTGTCCATTCGTACACTGTGTTTTTAAAGCAGCTTTTTAGTTTTAAAGATGTTGCTATTTCTGTATAGGAAAAGCTCAGCTTGGCAGAGCACTGTTATGTTGCTGGAGGGGATGCAAAATGGACATGTTGATGGTTTGACTTTTTTTTTCCCCCCTCCTAATAGCCATGGAAGGGCATTACATGTCTGTGACTTGTGAAGGAGTGACCCATGAGTCTCAAATACCACTGGCTTCCTTGTACCAGGTCTGCTGAAAATAGCATGGTTGCATACACAAACCACATAGTATACCTAGCTGTAGTGTGGGACATTGTACAGCTCAAATGCTTTGTCCTTATATGTGTACACCTCTCAGCTGAGCTGTGGCAACCTCTGCTATGCTTCCTGATGGGAAATCTCAGTTACTAGAAAAAGCCCTCTGTAGTATTGTGGGCTGTTGCAAGGACATGGGAACTGTCCTCTGCCATCCACACTGTTTTCCTAGTGATCTACCAGCATCTGTCTCTATGTTTTGGCCTGAAGCCTCTACTGTCTTTCTTCAAGAGACTTTAGGTAGAACCAGAGTGAGAGGAGCTTGCCTTTTTTGAGGGAGGAGAAAAGGAAGGAGGAGAAAGATTGATAAGGAAGTGAGGTTTTGGAATAACAAGTGGATTGAGTGCTGGGATGCCAGGGTGTCTGGGAGGGCTGGGCAGAGCACAGCTACAAGTGGGTGGGTGGTATGAGTCGGATAGTCCAAACAGTGCAGAAATTCTTGTTGTGCATGTTTTAAATAGTGTCTGTGTCCAGGGAGCTGGGAGAAGGACACATACTAGTCCTTTCCTTCCAAGCTAAGTGGGTTGCCGTTGAGTAACACGTGATGCGACAGAGTTTTATTGTAGCTCTTTGTCAAACAGGCTTTGCTTCTTTACGCATTCAGATTCACTGGTGCAGCTGAATTTCCAGTAGAGGTACCTCCTTCAGCTCAGCTGGGGAAGGTATCTTTGACCTGCAAGTTAGAGGTAAAGAAGTATAAGTGAAGGTAGCTAATTGAGCTATTAACAGATCTCTGAGCTTCACATATTAAGAACAGAAGTGCTTTTATAATGTTTTCAGCAGATCTCAAAGGGGCATAGGACTCTCATCCCATGATTTCCAAAGTGCAGCCTTTTAGCTGATGTATATGCTTTGTAGCACATAGTAAAGTTTATTCTGCCCACTTGACCCCAGTGGTGAAGTTGATGTAATGGGAGCTGCAGCTGGGGAATACAAATGATACTTTTCTTTGCGTTTTTTTTCTGGTAATTGTGAAGTCAAAACTTAATCAAAATTAAAAGCTTTTCTAGTCTCTGTAGGCTGGGGCATACATGTTTGATGGTAGGTCTGGGATGATTCACTGACTTGTGTTTTATACCATTGCCTGAGTATCTGAACAAAACCAGCATGGTATTTCAGGTATGTCAGTGTAACTCAGAGCACTGTCTTTCTACTGGCTGATGCTCAGCTTATTCTCTCATGAAACCATTTACCTGTGTTAAGTCTTTCCAGTAACTTTATATATCAGTCATGAAATGTCAAATATCTTCTCTTAAAGACTTTTGAATAGTAATCTGATGTGTTGAATGCTACATTGGTCCTCCTAAGTGACACATCCACTGAAAGCTCCACTGCTTCCTTCAGCCAGTCTTGGTTCGTACAGATCATCCACTGGCTAGAGATAGTCTTAGAGAAGCAAAACAGAATTACAGTTTGGTTGCAAGGAGGCGTATATCTCCAGAATACTGTTTTAAGTTACAAAGCTCATGTATGTTTGTGGCATCCTCTGCACCACTGAAAGAAACTAAGCGTGTGTAATCTTGGAAATGGCTCTAATTTTTGCTGTGAAAGCACTTTGCGAGGGAAAATTGTAATGGTGGCTTCCTGGTTTTGATCTGTAGGTTTTAAAATAGAACTAATAAACAAAAACGTTGTAGGACCCTCTTTTCTAAGTGATTTTTTTTTTTTAACACTGTTTTGGTTGTCTTGCTTTATGGAGGAACTTATTTTCTCTCTTCCCTTCCTGCTTTCATTCAGTCTCTTTTTTCCCCTCCCTCTGTGTAGGGAGGAATCAACTGAAGGCTCTCCTCTCAAAGAGCTGTAGTCTTGAGTTGAAAGCCACAAGACTGAGGATCTAAGCAACAGAGGTGGTCATGGATAGGCTAAGACAGTGGCAGCTCAGAAAATCCCACCAGTCACCTGTGCACCCCAGTGACACAGTACTTGGATGAGGCTCCATTCTCCTTAGGAACTTAGTGTTTTAGTTTCTAGAGCTGGCCAGTGCCCCTGGTCATTCAGAGCCACTGATGGGTGGTATCAAGTGCGATGTGTGCAAGGCAGCAAGGTGAGAGCAGCAACACACGAAGCGGTAATCTCCATACTGGGGGCAGAGTGCTGCTCGAGACAGTCTCTCTCAGTAAACCTGAGCAATGGTGACAAGCTTGGGAAAGCGGCTGAAGTTCTCTCAGCTGAGGACGTGGCTTCTCCATGCTGCTGGCAGCTGCTTTTTCAGTGCACCACGTCAACAGCATGGTCAGTCCTTCCTGGCCTGTTTCAGCCACAATGAAAGGAATTGGAGGATATCTCTGTTTACCTTGAAACTAACTGGAAGAGAAGTTTGGGAGTCAGTGGCTGGGAGGAAGGCAAGAAGGAACAGGTAGAGCAGTGATGTGTGCCCACATGCGTAGCTGCAGGCCCAGAAGTTGTGTTTGCAGAAGTTGCTAGCTATTGTAGTAGCTTGTATGAATCTGTTGTTCTTTTCCCTGGCAAGCCACTCGTCTATATTTGGAATGGAGAGAGTGGATTTGTGTGGAGGAGGAAGGGATCTAATGTTTGGAAGGTGATTGCATCCTAGTTTGCAAAGGACCCTCACCTGAAACTTTGATTTCCCTTGAATGATCAAACTCAAATGCTGTTGGCATTGACATGTGACCACTTTCTCAATTCCTCACTCAGGAGAAGTCCTGCTGGAGCAGGAGTTTGGAAAGCTGTGTTGAAATGTAGGAGTGAGCACCTCACTCATGGCCTCCTACCCTGTCCTCTGCAGAAGGAGGGAGATCACATCCCTGAAGAGGAAGACCACTCTGCCAAGCAAGAGGAGGACAAGGCTTTAGCTGCAGCAGAGACTGCTGTTTATGTGGAGAAAACAAAGATAAACAGAGAAACTTCTGTTGTAGCTGTAGTGGCAAGGGTGAACTCTGATAGCCTGGGTTAGAAAGCAGCCATGGTATGGTGGAGAGACAAAGCAGCGCCTTCTTCCAATGCTCAGCAAACATGTGGCTTAGCTCTTTATTTCTGTCCTAGAAACATCCTGGAAGTGTCTGAAGCAATGTGTATCTGGACAGTGCTGCAGCTCTGTGCATCTGAACTTCCCTTTGGCCCTCTTCTCCTGGGGACAAGCTCTAGCTGCCCAGGGATCTTCTGCAGTTCGGTTTAGTGCTTGGGGCCTCGCAGACTGTGGAAACTGGGCACGTAACTCCTTCAGCAGCAGTCATTTGAAACAGAGGAAAGATTAGTCTGAAAAGCAGAAACCCAGTTAGGAAAACTGTCCTCTAAATGTAAGCTAGGTTTCATTAGCTGCATCAGCATTCATCAGTAGAGTATTTCTGTGAGGAAGGTGTTGTATCCTGATGGTGCTAATTACAAACTAGCTGGAATTCCTTATGGCTAAAGCCCTCTTAGCCATGAGCAGGAGAGAGTATTCTCCTCATGAAGGCAAAGGCTTTGATAGTTATTACCCCATCAGAAGGGTCCAAATGTGACCTGTCGAGAGAAGTTGACATCACAGATGTAGCTTTGCTGATTTTTCTGCCATCAGATGCTCTGCCAACACTTTTTTCCCCTTTCCTGAGGTATTATTTCTTACTTTGTCTCAGTGAGGTTTGGTTTAAAGTTTCCATGCTTCACCCAGCAACAAAATGCAGTTGAGCCACAAAACCAGATGGTTGGGTCTGCTTCACTCTCTCCAAAACAGTGTGTGCCTCAAGCTGCTGCAACCTTTCCATAGCTCCTTTGTTCAGCAGTGATCAGGAGCTCTGGATTCACTTAATTTCTTGCCCGTTCCTGTGCACTGACAACCTTATATTTGTTCCTGGCTGTGCCTTGTTGCGACTGCCAGTAGAAAGTGCTAGGAAGGCCAGTTGGGGTGCGCTTTATTCTTGCCTTCCCTGCCTTTCATCTAGCTACAGAAACTCATGCTGTTACGTGCACTGTAGCTGGGGTTCGAGAGAGGGATTTGGTATCACTTTGTGTCTGCTGTTGCAGAGCAAGGCTGGTAGTTCACGTTTTCAATGCCGGTTGGAATTTTTCAAGCTAACAGAGGAAAAGGTTGACCTTGAGCGTGATGGAAATGCTACAGAAAATGACTCTTGGTGGGTGGAGGAAGATGCTAAGAAAGTGTCTGTTCTGCTCTGCTCATTGGCTTGCTTTCAAAAGTCTGCTCACCTTTGCCCAGCCAAGAATGGGATAGCCAATGGAGATGAATAGGGATGCTAAGTTTTTGGCTTAAACACTTGAAGTCTAGTCTGTGCTTTTGAAGTGTGTGTCTTAGTTCTGGCCCTCCTTTACTCCTGCCACACGTGTATTTCTCTGCAGTGAGGTCTAGCAAAAGTCTGTTTGCAAAACACTTTGCAACCCATCAATGCAAGATGCTGTGTGGTCAAATGCAAAACCTTTATATTCTCTCGTCACTGTCTTTAATGCTGTTTCAAGCTCATTGATGTGGACTCACCTTGCAGCGTGGTGGACCAGCCCCTCTGAGTTGGGGAGGATCGGTCCCTCTTGGGATGCAGGGCTCGGGTTTCAGTAACACAACGCTTTGTGCAGCCATGTGCGTGTTCAAAAGAGCCAACTGGCTGGAGCTCCCGTGGTGACGCTTGGCTGATTTGGCAGCCAGGTTGATTCTGTCAAGTTACAGTATGGGAGTTAAGTCCAGCTTCAAATCCTCTCCCTTACCCGCTCGAGGAACTCGGAGGGGGAGGCGGGAAGAAGCGGGGAAGCTCTCTGGGGACTTTTGTCATTATTGGCATGGAAACACTTTGTGATTATCAGCAGCAGGGCAGTGGCAAGGGGCTGATTATCTATCATGTCGTCAGCATAAATAATCAGTGGGCCCCTGAGCAGGGCTCCGCCTTTTGTAATGGCTCCACGTAATCACTGCATAACAGTTTAAAAGCAAGCAGAACAGAAAAACAGCTGGACTAATTCTGACCCTAACTGATGTTGCCTTTTCTCCCCTCATTAGAAGAGAAATATGTCACTATCCAGCCATACGCCAGCCAGGGGAAGGATGAGATCGGGTTTGAAAAAGGCGTCACCGTGGAGGTCATCCAAAAGAACCTGGAAGGATGGTGGTACATAAGGTAAAGAAGCTGTGCAGCCAGGTTGCTGCAGAACCCGTGACAATGAGCTTTTCTGATCATTCAGCTAATGTTAGCATTTGAATAGTTCTGTAGCTGGGCAAGGAAGCCCAAATTGTGCATAATGCCTCTTGAAGAAATGTAAAGAAAAGACTAAGACGATACAATGGTGATTAAAGTAACGCTACAGTGTCTGCAAAAGCTGTAGACCATTCCAGTGGGGAAATTCCTGAACTTGTGGATTATTTATTTTTTTTTATTTCTTCAAGTTAAAAGCTCATGTCTGAGTTAAGATCTGTGAGACCTAACAAGGTTTTCTGTTGTGTGAAATTTTAATGTGCTTCCAGTATAAGAGTTATTCTGCAACATGTTTAAATCTATTTATAGCAATGCTGAAAGGGTGGTTGTGATCTCTTGAGCTGTTTGGGGCAGGCAGTGCTCTTTTCAGGGATATGAGAGATCAGTTTGCTGGCTATAGCCTTTTCCAAACTTATTGATAGTTTCAACTAATTTACCTGATTTCTGCCTGTGCGCACTAGATACTCCTAATGTAGAGAGACTGGATTTCAAGGGCCAGCAAAGTTATCGTTGTGTATCAAACTTTGTTATATATTTCAAACAGCAGTCATAGAGGAGACTTGTGACTTAAGAATCCCCTTTTTAAATTCTTATGGGGGGAATGTACATTAGATATGACTCAGTGATACAAGGTGTCAGGATGAATACTTAATGAGAGCTTTCTCCATCTAGGTTCACACAGCACTTTTTAGAGCACTTCACGTTTCTGCCTCTTGTCTTTTATTTATGTGTGAATCCAGTAGTGCTGTGACATCCCATTTCTCTTTAAATGAGATGTGATACAACAGGTGGCTCAGAAACAGAGGTTTATCTCTCAGGTGGTGTAAAACATCTAATCTAGTCATCTTTTTTTATTTAGCCTGTAATTATAGTGTTTATTTTTTCCTCTTCCCCCCCCAAAGCCATAATTTGGTTTTGTTTGAATTCTGCTTGATTTATCAGCTATGAATGAGGACTGTGAAAATGCTGACTAAAGCAATGTTGTTTTTCTTGATGTCCCTTACTTAGAAAACTGATGGTTGTTGGTTGTGTTTTTTTCTTTTATCTAATGCTCCCATAGAGGGAATAGGCTAATAAAGATAGCAGTGGAGCCAGTAAGTCATTGTAGACAGGAGGAACTTAAAAATGCCTGGGTTTGGTCAGGTCACATTTTTTTTCTCCTTTGATCATTCACAGAAGTGGAATCCAAAGTTGCAGATAGAGGAATCAAGAGCCCATAGGTTTTATGAGGGGAGAAACGTTGCAAGACATCTTTAGTTTATTTTGGTATTCTCCTTCTGAAATGAATCCTTATTACTACTCTAGGTTCCCCTTTGCCATGTTAACAGTTCTACAGTAAGCAAAATTTTTTTTTTTCCTCTTTTCCTCACACACTTCTTTGGACCAACCCAAAACACATGTTTTTCTATACAACAGAAGTGCATTCTGGTGGACAGTAACACTTGCTGCAGTGGCTTAAGTGGCTCCTTCATGGTCATCTGCTGGAAGAACAGTGGATGCCCCAGCCACCCCATGGTAGCTGGGGAATGCAGCATGCCCTTAGCTTTTTTGTAAGAGGCATTTTGAGTTGAGCAACCCTTCTTCTTGTTGAAAGGTGGGTTAAGTGCTCCCTATATGTGTGTGACAAGTGTGTTGGGTGTCAGCCATCATCCCCTCTGCTGCTCTGGAGCACTATGCTGCAGTCTTGCTGGAGGATTAAACTACTCTTAGAAACAGTTTTTTTTTCCATGGGCAACACTTTTGGAACTGTTGATGCTGTGATCCATTCCTGCAAGCTGGTCTTTTGCAGCCTGAGTAGCTGATCTCCGACTTCTTGTGCTGTTTATTTGACTAAAACTGTCCTGAATACTGTTAGGTACCACTCAGAAAAGGATTCCTCTTTGGAACAAATGCACTTTTCTGAGTATTAGGTGCCTTAAAAGGAGCGACTCCTTCTGCAGTAAGTGTAAGGGGAGAGGGAGCAGGAAGAGACTGCAGTTGAATCCTGCTGCCTTGTGTTTTGCTGGGCTGAGTAACAGAGTCTGAACACATGCATCAACATGTAGAAATAAAAACAAATCCAGCAGCTTGCAATTGGAGTCCACCTTAAATACATTAGCTTGTTCCACCTTAAGTATGTAATTTCCCCAAATTCCTGGCCATGTGCTGATCTTCATTTCCTGTAAACAGTTTCCTTTTTTTTCTTTTTCTTTTTCTTTTTTTTTTTTTTTCCCCACTAGTTTGCTTCCCTCTGGAGTAATTCCAGTGCTCTGAAGCTGGAAAGCAGATGTGACTCTCAGACTCATAGAGGCACTTCTGACTTTTTTTAACATTCCTATGGTTTGAATCCATTTTTTCCTTCGTATAATATAAACAGGGAGGGTTTTGGAATCACTGAGGAACCAAATCACTACACCTAATTCTGCAACCCTCCCAGTTCAGTGCTGTGGAAGCTATAGGCAATATTTGCATCTTCCTTTATTTTGCCCTGTATGCATTATGATTTAAAAAAAAAAAAAAAAAATCATTGAGACTCTTAGAGAAGTGAAAGGAAGGCCTGAGATTCTTCCTACTGTTCTACCTAGTTCAGTGGATCCGTGTGCTGCCCAGTATCGTCATAGCTGGTGTTAGCATCCATTATTTAGGTCTTGCTTTGTGTCAATTACTGTCACCTAGAGATAATATCATGGTGTCCAAGTGGATTGCAGATCAGTAGCAATACGCTAAGTAAAACTTCTGTTATTAGCCTGCATCTTCGTTTTGTGATTCACACTGAGCTGCAGCCCATGTGAATGAAGTGCAGTTGGGAGGTGGTAGCAGCACTGAAACGAGGAGGAATCTAGGATGGGGTTTGAAATGTCTCCAGCAGGTTGTGAGTCTAAATGGAGGAAGAATACTTGTGATTCAACTCTTAGACATGAAATGAAGATCATTACCGGTTCAGGAATTCTCTGAAGCTGATTAGTAGTTGCCTTAGTTCTTTCACCTATAAAATGAGATCAAGTAGTCTTCTAAGATGATGTTTGCAAAGGGCTTTGAGATTGCCAAGTTCAAGGGCTAAGGTGAAAAATGTAAGCCTATTTGACTTACATAAGTAGCTTTTATTTGCGAAGCTGCACAAATAAACTGGCAGTTGCTGGCAACTGCTGCTCAGCATTAACTTCAGGATGAATTTACTAACTTACAGGAAGAAATAACCAGCAACTCTGGGCAATATACCCTCAGTAGCAAGGCTGTTATTAACTGTCCAGCTATTGCTGCTACTATTCATTCAGAGAAACTATGTGAGATCAGAGGTGTGTGAAGCAGTGGGGTTATATGGGCTGATCCAAATACGTATAGTTGGCAGGAGAACTAACAAGCCAGTACAGAACCTGCCTGTGGCTGCCTTTCTGATCTTAAACATGTTAAGTCTCCCACAAACTAAGATGGATGTAAACTGTTTTTTCTTGCTGATTTTGCACAATCAAGCACTGTTGAATGTAACCTTTGGAACTGGAGTCCTCAGTGCATTAGCCAATGTGGCTTTCTGACAGACCAAGATCTTTACATCTCCAGATCATGTAAAGTTATAGATGTCCTTTATAAAAACTTCCCTGATGCATAGGCAGCAGAAAGCATTGGTCAGTAGGTCTGCAAAAGGGGATGAAGCCATAATAAGCCTTCAGGGCTTAAAAATGGTACGGAGATGCCTTGCCACAATGGGCAAGGCATCTCAGTGCCATTTTTTCCTTATTTTTTTCCCCCTTCTTTTGGCTTAGTGTGAGATTTATCAGAAAAGCCTCAAAGGGGACAGGATTGCATAGGTCCAGGTTGCATCTTGACATAGTATCAATGGCTGGATGCTGCGTATCCGTTGAAAGTCAAACAAATTCATTACTGTTTTGCTGCTGCTTGTTAGTCTCCATGCGGCAAAAAAAGGTCAGAGCTGTTGGGATGTGTTCCTTTGACAGCAGAATCTTTGGAAAAACTTGTAACTAAACTCTCTGAGCAGGGGAGATCCCATGTCTTTGCCTTCATGTATGACAGAAGGCAGGTATGTAGAGAGAAACGACATCTCTGGTGTCCTGGCTGATCTAGATGGGATGGGAGGAAAAGGCAAGATTTTGGACAGAAAGGTCCTTGTGGTCACTGCTGGAAGTACAGCAATTGTAATTGCTTTTGTACAAGCAGACTAATGAAGAAGTCTAGGGAAGCAAACCTATACTGCATTTTCCTCTTCTCCCCATAAAGTCTCAATGCCACTCTTGAGTATCTCAATGTGGTGAATGAGCCCAGGGTGTGCCCTGGTGCCAATCTCAGAATCCGAGTGTTGATGCAAGAAAGTTATTCATCTGCCAGGGAATGATTTGCTGGTATTTCCCCCACCTCCCCAGCTCCTTCCTCTGCTGTTTAATGAGTCTCCATTTTCATTAGAGAGCCTTAGAGTTCCTACTGTTTTAACCTTTGTGTTTCCTGCAGATTTCCTGAGCACCAGGATTTTAATGGTGCCTGCTTTCCCACTTACAGTTCAAGCGCCTGCTTTGGGTATCTTGAGAGATTAAAGAGAAAAGGGTTTCAGTGACTCACGCTGTAGCAAGTTAGGGTTTCTCTGAGGAAAGCAGAGTTCATCCACGTGGTCCTCCCTGGAGGCTGATTGTAATCTGAAATCCCTACTGGGGTGTTAGGAATGGCAGGAGTTAGAAAAACCGTCTTCCCAAAAGCCCAGTTGTTGAAGAATGACTTCAGTTTGAAGTGTAGCATGAGAAGCTCAGGCTGGGGCTCCGGGAGCACGTACTGGATTCAGGTGTCCGTTCAGATTTCTCAGTTTATTTCTTCAGATAGCCCCTAGCTTGCCAAAACCAGGACATTTGTTCAGGAAAAATGAGTCTTCATCAAAGCCATTCTTCCTTACTCAAATTGTTTCTTGACCTTGCAGAGCTAGAGGAAGCTGTAGTAGTTTGAGTCCCATATTCTCCATAAGAGAAGCTGATCATACAGGACTGGGAGTAATGGGAGGAAGGGCAATGTTTGTTATAGTTGCAAGGGGGGAGTCTTGCACAAGGGCCCTATAAACTGCAGATGTAGAGGCTCTGTACTGGGCTCTGTACACCCTTGTTTTAGCCCTTTTCCATTTTGATTTGCCTCTAGGAAGTATTAAAATATTTTACTCACTAGTTCGCTTTTTTGCTGTATGGGAAAATACTTAGTTTGCCTAGTACTGCCTAAGCGTGGCGTAAAGACACTGGTGAAGCCCTTTGCCTTGTGAGTAACTGTATTTCTTATCCAGAGAGACTGTTTCCTTAGGATGATTAGTGGCTTTTAACAGCAGTCCACAGTTCACTGCTAGCTCAGCTGACTTTTAGGTGCCTAATCAATAGGTAATAAATTAATAGAGACCACAAAAGCTTATCCGAGAACCGCAAATTTTGTTTTATGTTATCATCCATCACTTTTGCCTCAACTATTAAACTTGAAATGCATGAGAAGGCTGTGTTTGATGTGATGATATTTCCTTTTGCATCTGCAGGTATCTAGGCAAAGAGGGCTGGGCCCCAGCTTCATATCTGAAGAAGGCTAAAGATGATCTTCCGTCTAGGAAGAAGAACTTAACTGGGCCAGTGGAAATCATTGGAAACATCATGGAGATCAGTAACCTGCTGAACAAGAAATCATCCACTGACAAGGAAACTCAAGCAGAAAACGAGACTGCAGAAACTCATATCACCAAGAAGGAAATCAGTTTGCCCATCCTGTGCAATGACTCTAATGGCAATGCCATGATGACCCCAGACAAGCAGGCTTCCAAACTGGCCCAGGGATCCCCAGCCATAGCAAGGATAGCACCACAAAGAGCTCAAATAAGTAAGGCAGTAAAGTAGTCTGGGTTTTCACTGGCTTGCAATGATTTCTTGTTTTCTAACTTTCAGGGCTGGCCTCATCTGTCTGCTGAGGTCCCGTGTCTCCTGGCCTTATAAATGAGTCCACACAGACGCTAGGATCTCTAAGGACTCAGCACATAGTCCTTCATTAGTGATAAATTTTAACTTCATTTTATACAAGGGCTGGCTGGTTCTTCTTTATCTTAGCCAGTATGTGTTTGTTTTTTTCTTTTTTCCCAGAAAAGATTTTTTTCCATTTGAACACTCTAAAATGTGCCTCCCACCCCCGGTAGTGCAGATGATATGATAGTGTGTTAAAGTCAAGGAGATCACCTATTTCTTCTCTTGCATTTGTTCTGCTGTTTTCCTGGGGGCAGGTTGCTATAATGTTTTTACTACTTCAACTGCAAAATGCAGATGTTAACACTAGTCTGTGCAAGGAATAGCAAGATACTCTGAGAGAGGACAGTGTGAGTGTTATTAATTTAGTGGATTATTTTTACTGCTGGGGGGAAAACTAAGAATTAGGCCAATTCTTTGCTGGCCAATCTCCAATGGAGCTGGTCAGTTCCAGCAGAAAATACAATCCACTAGTTTCTGGCAGTGATTTCCTCTTAAATTTGCTGGCTTAGCTGAGATGAATAGCTAAGCTACCTTGGTATTTCTAATATACCCTCATAGTTTCCTATCTTCTTTCATAGAGATGCCTTAAATATTGCAAATACTGACTTCTAATATTCTCAAACTGTGTAACAGCAGAAACCTGCTGAAAAATATGTTTAGCAGTACTCACAAAGTTAAATAAACTCTTCCCTTTCCTGCTCAGGTTCTCCAAATCTAAGAACAAGGCCACCTCCACGAAGAGAATCCAGTCTGGTTTGTATTGGTTTATGGTATATTTTAGCAGTGGGGTAGGTGTGTGGGTGCTTTATGAGACTTTCTACAGCAGTACAAGATGCGGGGGGTATCTGAGAGATCCTTTATTTGCATGCCTGTTCATTTTATTGTTTAGATATTGAGCAAACCTCTGGACATGCTATTGTTAATTGGAGATTTCTGTTTTTCAAAATGTTGCCCTAGCTAAGTAGGTATTGAACTGAAGGGAGAATATCCTAAAGCTACTATGTTTGGTGCGTGGGCATTAAAGCCTGTTTGGCTGACTCAGAAGATTTAAAGTTCCTATGGGTGTTTTTAGCCCAGACTGGATCTTTTGACCTTCTTTTGTCTTTAACAACTGGGAACATCTCCCCTCCTGCCATTGCTACCATCTTTAAGGTGACTAAGCTTCACTTCTGTGTATGTTTAAAGTGACTTGAGATCTTATGGAGGGATGTGTGCTACAGGAATGAGACCTCCTATGATTGTTTATCCTCAAAGATATAATTCTGGAAGTTTGGACCAATTTGAGATTAGGGCTGTCATCTTCAGATAGGAACTACTCAGTGGTCTGTTTGCTCAAAAGTTGTGCTAGTAACTTGTTTATAACTAAGCAATACATAGAGCTTAATCTTTGCTGTACCTTTTTATGAGGAGTATATGACTTCAGTTTTTCTGTGTCATCTGAGATGCCTGTTAACAAACTAGATGAATAGCATATTAGCATTTTCTTCCTATTTCTTTTTGCATTATTTTCAATTAGACTTTGTTTTGGCAAGACTACTACCCTTAATCCCATGCTAAAAATAACACTGATAATGTATGTGAAACCCTGAACATGTCTGCTGTTTCCAATTATCTTCCTTTAATCCAAACCATCCTATTATCTGAAGGCATTTTATTATGCTGCACTTCTGCTGTATTTCAGCATTTATAGTGCAGAAACATCCAATTATAACATTGTTGGACATGGTTCCTAAGGTGCAGTGATGCATTCTCTGTGAAATGCCACATGGTGTGTGTGATGAAACGTGGATTGTTGGTTGCAATGAGGATCTTAGAAATGGAAGAGTGTGTGAATAAAGCACGGTATGCAATTTGCCTTTCTCCCATTAATGGCTTAGGATCATTTTGTGTCTTTGGCTGTACTGTGTACGTCTGTGGCAGATCTGAGCTGTGTTCAAGAGATCCTGACATACTGCAGTTCTTGCGTTAGAACCATAAGCAGTGAAGTGTAGAAGCTGTGAAGCTTCACCATCATGTAGTCGTTCTGTAGACAAGCAGTGTGCTAATCTGAAAAGCTTTTGATATTGAAATTCTTGAAAGGACTCTTGTCCTATTTAGCATCTTAAAAATAATTGTAACAAACTCTAAAATGTGACAGCTTAATGTAAACGCACTTGGCTTTTAGGGGAGTTTGGTGTGCTGCCAGAATGGCTGTAAATAGCAGTGTCCTGCTTCTCGTGGAGCCTCTATGCAATTTAAATGCAGATTGTGTTGGGATTGAGTAGAGAGGTTCTGGGTCTCCATTACAGGGAGGAATGAGAATCTTTTGATCTTATAGTAAAATCCTTCCTTTCTCCTATCACTTTAGCTGAACAAAGCTTTTCACAGGGGTCTGTGATGTTATCCTTGTTTCTTGCTACAACAGATGTCCATTAGGTCATATCACTGACTATTTCAGATTATTTACAAATCCAGCAACATCTTAAGAGTGATAATTCATTAGTATTACATTTTAAGGTAGTATATTTGATGATAGGCAGAATCTGTTATGGGCCTGTTGCAATGCAGTTTTCTGCAGTTGCAGCAAGCCATCCAGAACTGAGTCTTTCTGGACAAAATCTCAGAGTAAATGGGCTGTTGTTACTGTGACTAGAATGGCAGCTCATGCTTTTATGGCCCATCAGTAAAATGTTTTACTGCTCAGGTAGAGATTATCACAGTTTTAATAGCTGGTGAAGGCGGCATGAACAGTGCGTATGTTGAAAGGCTTCTCTCTTGTGGCCCATCTCAACACATCAGCTTCCGCTCTGGAGAACTGGGAAGTTATCATTAGGAAATAGCACAGGAAGAAGGAAGAGTTTTAGTGAGTAAAAGCAAATACTTTTTTCATACTGCTGTTCAGCCCACTGTTTCTTTGGTTTAATTAAACAGAACTTCCTGTTTGCCACAGGGTTTTCAGTTGCCCAAACCACCAGAGCCACCCTCCGTGGAAGTGGAATACTACACCATTGCAGAGTTCCAGTCGTGTATCTCTGATGGCATAAGCTTTCGTGGAGGACAAAAAGCAGAGGTGAGCCTTAACAGTGCAGCTGGAAAAACTGTAATATTTGGCTATTGCAGGGGATTGGATTGAAGGGGGAGGAGTGGAAAGCAATTGGTTGAGATTTTTGTCTAAGTAACATGTTCCTTGTTGTCTCGTAGGTTATAGAAAAGAATTCTGGTGGCTGGTGGTACGTGCAGATTGGAGAGAAGGAAGGATGGGCTCCAGCGTCTTACATTGACAAGAGGAAGAAGCCGAATTTAAACAGGAGAACCAGTACTTTAACCCGCCCCAAAGTTCCTCCCCCAGCACCTCCCAGTAAACCCAAAGACTCTGAAGAAGGAACAACTCCTGGAACGGTTTCTTCAGGAGATACCCAGGACTCTCCCCACAAGCTGAAATACGAAGAACCTGAGTATGATGTGCCTGCCTTTGGCTTTGACTCGGAGTGTGAAGTGAGTGAAAGTCATCGTGAAGAGGGAACTCCTGAAAAACGACTGTTTCAGCCCCTCAAGCCCTCTTCTGTCTCATCACTTCAGAAAACAAAATTCAAAGTAGGAGAGTCTTCAGAAGATGTTGCTCACGAAGAAGAGACCATCTATGAGAATGAGGGATTCAGGCGTTATGTGGAAGATACTTTTTCCAATAAAGAATCTAGTGGAGACTCCGATTCTCAGAAAAGCTCCTCTCTCTCCTTAATCCGAAGGAATTCTCCATGTTCCAGCTCTCCTAAATCATCACTTGTGAAGCTCAAGATGGACAAAAACATCCAGCCCGATCTTGGAAAATGTCACTATTCCAGGAATGAGGAGACAAAACCAAGGTCAGCTTCAGATGTTGGCTTACGTAGTGTGCCAAGAATAGGCATGAAGAAAGAGCCTGGGCAGAGTCCCTCTATTAGAGCAAAGCCAATTGTTAGGCCCAAACCCTTCCTGAACAAGGCAGAATCTCAGAGCCAAGAAAAGATGGATATCAGCACTTTAAGGCGTCAGCTGAGGCCAACTGGGCAACTCAGAGGTGGACTTAAAGGTTCAAGAAGTGAAGAGTCTGAGAGTCCCCCACACACAGCTTCTGAGAGCCAAGATGATCCTGTTAGGAGGAGCTCGGCTGATCTCATTACAGCTCCTTCCCGTGGCATTTTCTGCTCTAGTCATCCAGCCAAAACTGAGCAAGAAAATGACTCCAGATGTTTCTATGTGACCACTGACTCATACCAAAAGGTACAGGATTCTGAAATTTGCTTCCCAGCAGGAGTAGAAGTGGAAGTTCTGGAAAAGCAAGCTAGTGGGTGGTGGTACCTGAAATACGGAGAAGCGGAAGGCTGGGCTCCTTCCCATTATTTGGCCCTCCCTGATAACCAGCGAGAAACCACATCAGCAGAGACCGATGCCTCATTTGCCAGGAACAGGAAAAATGAAAACAAGTCAAACAGTTTAGAGAAGATAGAGAAGAGGGTTCGGGCTTTGAACACCATCAACCAGAGCAAACGCGCAACACCACCCATCCCAAGCAAACCACCTGGTGGTTTTTCAAAACCATCAGGGCCAGTCAAAATGAGGAATGGTGTGAGGCAACTTGCCGTCCGACCACAGTCAGTGTTTGTGTCTGCACCACCAAAGGATAACAACCTGTCATGCTCTTTGCGCAGAAATGAGTCTTTAACAACTACAGATCATCTTAGAACCGTCCGTCGGAATTCCTCCTTCAGCAATGCGTGGTCACAGCCTGGTGATGCGAAGGGAAAGCAGCCTGAGCGGTCGGGTACAGAGGGCTCAGAGACCACCTCCAACCTCCCAACCCAGAGGAATGGGATTCCTGTGTCCACAGTCAGGCCAAAGCCTATTGAGAAATCCCAGTTTATCCACAACAATCTCAAGGACATCTATGTTTCCATTGCAGACTATGAAGGGGATGAGGAGACTGCAGGGTTTCAGGAAGGTGTCTGCATGGAAGTCCTCGAAAGGAACCCAAATGGCTGGTGGTACTGCCAGATCATGAATGGTGTGAAGCCATTTAAAGGCTGGGTGCCCTCAAATTACTTGGAGAAAAAGAACTAATATTGCGATATGTTTAACCTCCCTAATTTATACTGTTCTTGCTGTGTACATGTGGAAAAAACAATTGCTACACAAAAAGACGTTTTCCTATGCTCAGTTAGTACAAAGGGACAAAGGAGTCTATGCTGAGGACAAATCTACCATGTTCTGGAGAGGTTTGTGAGGTTAACATGTCGTAAGGAACTATAAGGAAGATGCAGCATAGTCAAATGCCTTTTTGTGAAGTTGTTAATAATCTTGTATGTGTAACAGGGTATGACATCCCATCTTTCCCATTATTGATAGAAAACCAAATGTGTGCCTTTTGTGAGAGAGAAATACACATGCATCTACTTGGGGAGTTTTGTGCCAAACTCTGTTTTACAATCTTGGCTCCCTTTCTCCTCGTTCTTGTCCGTATGTGGAATACCCAAGAGTTTTGGATGCATTTCCACAACTTACAGTGAGAAGCAAATGGAAGTTTCAGGAACACAGAGGGACTCTAATCCTTTGGAGATGTTCACTTTTTTTTTTACTGTTCTCAACAGTTGGTTGGTCCAGAGCTGGAGCCTTTTCATCACGGAGAGATTTGGTCTCTAACTTCAGCTGTGTTTTGTTGTTACTGCAAACTCACCGGAAAAGGCAATCAGGTGGTGTTGGTTGGGGGCTTTTTGTTTCCTTTTGTTCTGTCTTGTTCTTTGAGTTGGGATTTCAGGTGTTCTAGGGCAGCGATGCCTACTTGGTGCTTGTAAAAACAAACCTACAAACCCCATGCTTAGGCACATTGGTTACTTTGTAGGCTTCACATTTAGTTCTGTTCCTGACTCCTGCCAGGTGATCCTGGTTGATTCTCTTCCCAGAGTTGGGTTTCTCAAAACTTGTCATAATATCAAATTTTACAAAAGTCCCTTAAGACACTAAAGACAAAGCTGTCGAATGTGTTACTTCTGTTTTTGCAATCTGGTCCGAATCCAAGCGTGCTGACTGCTGGCAGGGCTCACCAAGGTATTAGTTAGAAATAGCCGTAACCTTCTGCAACATCAGTGTTTACAGTGAGGGGGGGGGGAAAAAGCCATCAAACTCAGTCTGCACATCCTTAATTTGTATATTTTTGGGGAATTGTTTTTCTGTGTTTTGGTTTTGTCTTTTCTGTGCATTCTGGGTTTACTTTAATTTTTTTGTCTTGTTTTACCAGAAGAGACTTAAAACTGAAGTAGGAGCCAAATATGTGTTTCTGTTCCCACTTGAATCCAAAAAGTACATTTGTACTGGAAAGTGTGCCTGGGCTTCTCAGGCTCAGAGATTTAATATCAAAGCAATTAGGTCTACAGTGCATCTAACCAGGAAGCTGCCTCTTCTAGTTCCATTTCTGTTTGCCTTTCTTAACTCATGCTTTGAAACGTGGCACACGGTGCAGGTAGTGTGGTGGGAAATGGAAGAGGCATCCATTGGAAAAGGCTAGAAATATGGAGTTATTAGTGAGGTAGCCAACTCTTGTACTGTAAGCATCATTGACTGAATCTCTACTGTACTCGAGGAAGTCGTGCTTTTTTTTTTTTAACAGCCTTGTTAATCACTCAAGATCAATATCTAGTTCATTTAAATAATAGGCAGCATTGTAAATCTGTTTTAAGGGAGAGGGGGCAGACAATTTCACTACTGGTTTACACAAAATGATATATGCCCTATTTTCCACCATACTGATTTGGCTTGGAAGGTAAAGGTTATAAAGACTTTAAAATAGCTGGGATCAAGGGGCTGCATAAAATAGCACAACAATATCATGTGTTACTGGGGATGTTTCTCTGCCAAAAAAAATTTACACAATTGATACATTGTTCTTGTCTTTTTTTGTGTGTGTGTAATTTGGGGTTTTTATTAATTTCCATGGTGACGAGAGAGTTGCCTACAGCTAACCTGACTGATGTCCTTTTGGTAGCTGAAACAACATCCAGGTGCCACAACTGGCTCTGAACAGTGCTGTGGTTCGAGCAGCTCTCTGCATCCAAATGGGGAGGGAGGGTATGTGGTTGAGATACCTTTTAAATTGTGGTGGCAGGAGAAGGAGGTATATCTGCACAACAGCTTGTATCACAGTGTGCAGGGTCCTCTTTGTACCTTAACGTCTTACCATATAATATATACGTATAGATCCAGTTTGATACATCTTACTGGATGTGTATCTGAGGCATTGTGGCCCTGTCTCTCAGACTTCTCCCCATTTTTAGTTGTCCCCAGCCGTAAAAGACTGCTGGAGCTGTTGTGAGATTATAATAGAAGTATTATATTCTTCTGCTGGACAGTATTAAATAGAGCAATACATAGAGTTATCTGCTAGATTGCAGTACTAATAGTAGTGACTTAGTGACTCGTATTAATGTTGTTATGATTTATTTTAACAATAATGATGCGGAAGTGGTTCATTATTTTGAATTAATGCACTTTAACAATAAAAGAAACCAAAATGGAAGCCAATGCAGAGAACTAAGTGCATTATTTAAAGGTGCAGTATATAATTATCATTTTCTTGAAGCACATATTTATTGAGAATTAACTTATTATTTAAAATATTCTAAAGTTTTGTTTAAAGACATTCCCACTAGGTCATCTCTTTGGAGGGATGTAAAAGCACAGCTCCCAGATCTTCTGCATTGAGCCACTGAATTCTCTGAGTACAGTGCGACGTGACGTGAGCCCCTATCCAGGGAGAGGAATGCAGCACGCAGTCAGGAGAGCCCAGACTGCTCTAAATATTCACACTTGCATCCAGCAAAGCCAAGCCCAGAGCACCTCTGAACTGCAGGAGCCCTTGCAGGGTTTGGGGTGGCAAAGTCGGTTTTGGCAGACGGTTGCGGTGCCTGCCTGCTGCGTGCCTTGCATGAAACTGATCCCTGATGGATGTGGGCTCACCGTGAGGCTTGGGTTAGTGTGAGAGCTTCAGGATCTGCCTGTGAAACGTGGGCCAGCTCTGTAACTGACGTCAGTCTGTCCCGCAGCTCCCTTTCCACCTTGCTGACTTGCTTCTCCAGCTCTAGCTTTTGCAGGGAGGTGGTTTGGCGAGCTTCAAGTGGTGCAGGGGATGGCACAGACTGAGGGTGCCTGCAGTACTGCCAGGGTTTCCTCCACCAGCAGCCCAGTGCCTGTGGCTCGATTGCTCCTTTATCCCATCTCAAAGGCCTCGTGGCTTCCTTCCTCCCTCTGCCCTCACTTGCACCAGCAAAAAGGACAGGGCACTAATGAACTACTTGATGCTAGAAATGAATGTGGGCCACCGCCTGACGCACTGGGCTTCCCACCCCATGGGAAAGTTTCAGTTTGGGCTTCTTTTATTTGGTGGCTATTCTGACTGCTTTTGTTTAAAAGGGCACTTTTAAAGCAAATACTTCCCCAATGCAGTTTTTCCCCCTCCCGTCTTACTGTTGTCACAGCATCTCCCACTGATCTCTTTTTTTTTTTTTGATTCTTTCAACTGAGATTTCAGGAAAAGAATTATTTTTTCCATTGGTGCGCAGCTCGTTTTGGTCAGCTCCACTGATACTCAAAATAGCAAGCCCTTTCCACTGTTAGCTGTGAAACAGAGTGAAAGGCCTTAAGCTAAATCAGAAAAGCTGACTACAGGGCAGGAAAACCTGACAGGGTGCCTCAGAGGACAGTGTAGTGCTAGAAGTGTTTTAGCTCTTTTCTAAAATGTTAATGTTGCCTTTAGCTTTATTTCCTAAATTTGTCAAAACTGACACTGGATCAAGAGCAATATTTAAATGTAATATGCACCTCAGTGAACACTCAATGCAGAAATCAATAGTACTGTTTAAATTTCTCTTCTTCTGGTTTATTCTTGAACCAGATGAAGAGGAAGAACTCTGCAGGGCTTGAGCGAAGCCATTTGCAGCTGAAGGGAGCCCTCCTCCGGGGGAGAGGCGGCTGCTGTCACCGCATTGCTCTCACCCGCTGTCCGTGCTTTCCAAAAAGTCTTGAATTTGGACCAGCAGAAAATCCAAACTCCAATGCCAGAGAACAAAATTTAAGAATGTGAAAATTGTGTCTTGCTGTATACTGCAACTTTAATAATAATGAGCACTTCTGAGTTCGTTATTGAGGTTTATATAATGCCTGAAAAGTTTAATTCCTGGTTTCCCTTGTCTCCCCTTTCAAAACACTTTTCTTAACAGCAAGAATAATATGGGTTTGTTAGCAGCCCTTCCCCGTGGGAGGCAATTCCTGTTAATTGTTTTAGCTGTCATGCCTTGCAATGGGTGGGTGTAGTCATAGGTACCAGTCACTTGCAAGCTAAACTTGGCAAGATAAAAGATACGATGGGCACGTGCTGGGATGCTTAACTGATATATTGACAGAAGTTTTTAAATCGATGTGTACAATAATAGCAAATACACAATAATGAAGGATTGAAATTGGCTTACGGTTAGACTCTTAAAAATGGAATTTCACGTCTGCACGGGTATAGCTAAAAAATGGACTTGGCCCTTGTGGATACGCACCCCAAAACCTCCTTCTGTTACGATGGTATGAAGTTTGACGAAGGCATTATATAATTGTTTTCATCACTTTCAGATCTTAATGAATCGTATTTTATTGTAATATATATTCATTGCTTTCCTCAGTTAAAAAGAAAGTTACTTGCTTTTATCTTATATGAAAAACAAGGGAATTTGATAAAGCATTCATTATTTTCATATTACTAGTATTAACAGAATAGAACTAGTACTATTTAATTTTAGATCTTCATAGCTAGCTTGTTAATAACTCATATTTTCCTGTGTTGTATCCTACTATTTTTTCTATATTTTTCCCAAATACTCTGCATTCTTGAGGAAAAAAAACAAATCCAATGAGTGGATAAGTGCAATATTCATAGAATAAACAGGCCCCTCATCCAGGACTTGGAGTGGAACGTGCAGTGTGAAATGTTTGCAATTCTCTATTCATGCACTCTTAGGGGAAGAGGAAATGCAAGGGAGGGGGCAGCTGGATGAGAACAGGACCCTTGGGTAGGTAGGGACTGATAGGGGTAGTTTGGGATGGGAATGGCTGTTTTTCATTTAAAAAGCATCACATGTTACTGAAAGTGTAAGGATTATGCAGCATGTTGCCAGGATTATGTATAGAATGTTCATTAACATCCTTATCTACAGAGGACTTCTGAGCTATGCTTGAAACACTCTGTCATCCATGCATGATACTGTCTTCTGGTATGTCTCTGCTGGTTACGTCCTCTGTCACGCTTCAGAATCGATCTTAACTTCAGAAGGGAAAATAATTCTCCTGGTGCAGTCCCAAGTTTTGATACTGTATTGTTACTTGTATTTATTGCAAGAGCTATGGGAATATTTTTACAGGTCCTCATTTCTTTTTCTTTACTGTTAACCTAAGAAAAAAAGTCCCCATTTTGTCTGGGTTAGTTCTCACTTGCAGAATTTCACAGCTGATTTGGGTATTGATTTCTTATTTCTTGGCTTGCAGAGGCTGATCTCTCAGGTCCAAAATAAAGTTG